TTTTTTTTTTCACTTTTCCCATTATAAATTTTGTTTTTTCTTGTAAATGAGTTATTATTATTTATATATCTCTTGGTGGTTTCATTGTTAACTGCCCCAATAAACTCTTTATCTTGTTAAAAATCAGATATGATTTTATTTTTAATCTTTTCAAATTCATCTGTATTTAAAATCTTATAATCTGAATAATCATAGTTGGGAAATATAAGAAAAAAATATAAAAATTTTCAAAATAAAAATAATATCACCTTGTATTTATATATTTCTGTTTGGTCTATCATTGTAAATAGTAAATGTCTTTTCTGAATAAATATGAGTAATGATTCTTTCATTTAAAAGAATTTGATAGTTGCGAGAATAATCAATTAAAAAAATATTAGTATTTGAAAAAACTGGAACTTGAAAAGAGTTATCAGTAATATCATTAACAATAACTCTATTGAGTACTTGAATCTCTTTATTATTATAATTTAAGAATAACAAAAAAGCTGAATTCATCAAACCAGACACAGGTATTAGATTAGTTCTAAAAATCTAAATCTTTAAATGACAAAGTATCATTTTTCTGAATAAGAATTTCTAGCTCTATTAGTATTTAACTAATGAAATACTCCTCTATTTATATAAATATTTGTCTAATAAAATTAAATTCTTTATTAAAATAAAATTCTTATATTTGGCAAACTAATCTAACTGTTTATTTATATTTGCATTGTTCTTTTTATTTATACTTGCCTTATTCGGTACACTTATAATTTATTCTTATATTAAATATATCTATTAGCTAAAAATTTGTTATATCAAAATTAAATACCAACTTATATTTCTATACATATATATTAAATACATACTTTTGATCTTATATATTGATTTTAAATACTTTTTACAATTTAAGTTATATAATCACCTACTAGTCAATGAACTTTTATTAGAACATATACATAAAATATTTAAAATTTAGTATAAAAACTTGAAATAATATTGGCTAATATTGTATTGACTATTATTCTGATACCCTCTCTATAACATTTTGCTAAATTTAAGCCTCCTTCAATATTCCCCAAATGGTATACATTTTAATAATATTTGTATACCTTATATTTATTCTTTTTAATACCAATTCTGTATTCATAATTCTTTTCTCTATCATTAAAAGTATTACTAGTACCCAACTTAGAATATTGAATCACATTTTTTTGTGTAATTTCTCGTAAACAAATATGTCAAATATAAACATTTTTTCAATAATGATATCATATTGGAGTTCAAAACAATGTTTCAAAAATTAATTTCTTTTCAATGTCCAAATAAAATCTACACTTCTTGATATCATAGATATAATTTTCTTCTGAATTATAAATATAATATAACACGTCAAGCAATATTAATTGATTTTTCAGAACAAAATACTTTTTAATCTTATATTTTTGTTTATTCTTTTCTTTAATAGTTTCATGATAATATTTGAATTTTTTAAGCAAGACAGAAATCTGAATATTTTGATGATATGTGTTACTATAAAAATATTGATCTTTTTGTTTAACAAAAAAAAAAGATACAATATATTGTTTAACAAATTTCAAAAAGAAATCACAAATAATAACAAGATTTCTTATATTATTAAAATCTTGAATTGGCAATTTTTCAAAGATTACAGTAATAATCTCAGGTAGTAACTATAAAAGAAAAATTCTCATTTTAAAATATACAATAATTAATATTTTAATATAAAGCCTATTTATAATTATTTTAAATTACAACTGATCAATAATTGATAAAAGCCTAAACAATTACTAGACAATCATTACAAAAATTATGAATATGTGAATAATTACAATATATAAAAAAACTGCCAAAATTTTTTAATTCTCCTTGAACTACTTTTTGATTAAAATACTTACAAGTACTAACTTTATATTGATGATCTTTTACCAAAAATTTTGTAATAAGCTTAAATCCCGCATATATATCACAAGCCTCTTTTCGATATCTATAATATATTTCTTGCTATAAGGAATTAAAACCATTTTAGGGCTTAAATATGGAGAATTCAAATGATTAGTTTTTCTTAACAAACAATATATTATATTAGATTTTTTTTTGAGCTGTTGATATATATTGTTAGTAAACCAAACTTATTTTTTATTTGCTTTTAATATCTCTTTAACTAAAAACTTTCTTTCACAAGATTTGTTATTAGATGAAATTTCTTGGCTAAAATAAAATACATGTTCTTTAGAATCAAGAGTATTGATCACTAGTTGCAGAAAATAAACATGCTTCACATTCTCAGAATTCACCAAATCGAATATATTTTTAAATTTTTGTGATACCCTGCACAATTGAATTTGTTGTAGAAAGCTAAGCAACTTAAATATCATTCCCAACAATTCATTTGATAATGAATTCATTTTGATTAATATACTTCTTGCTTGGTTAAATATGTATTTATACTTTATATAAACAAACTTATTTAAGAAAAATAATAAATTATTTGGTATATAAATACAACTTCTACTGCATACTACATATATATAATTATTCAATTATTTCATATAATGAATATTACAAAGTTATCACCAAAAATTGTAACCTTAATACTTGATGAAATTTGAGTTGAAAATTTTAAAGAAATAAAAAATTTTATGCTTGTCTGTAAATATTTTTTAGAAATTATCAAAAAATATACAACCAAAGTAGCCTTAACTAAAAGAAAAGAAACAAATTGGAGCGATTTAAATTATCTGGCATAGAGTTATATTAGTCTGGTCTGGTCTGGTCTAGTCTCTAAGAGAACCATTATCATAGTATTTATGGTCTAGTTCAATCTGGTCTTTCAGGTCTATAATGGTTCTTAAATAATTACATCAATCTTAATGCATAAGATTGTATTGGCTAAAAATAATGTAATTATTTACTATTAGATGTAAACAAACATTATATGATCTACATTATACCTAATTAAAAAATTTGATTGGGTAATACAAATATCACAGTTATTTTACAAGGACCGGTCTTTTAATAGTTCTATGGTCCTTATCGGTCTTAATCCAGAACTGGTCTTTTTTAGAATCGATACAACTCTAATCTAACACATATCGATGAAATTAAAAATTTACAACAATATATATTATATAAAAAATTCAAATACTATAGCAATACATTAAAATTTTATAATAATAAGAAAAAGATTAAAATTAAAAAATATATTATTCCATCTTATAAATTAGAATTAGTAAATGAATTCTATTTCTTTTACAATTTATTTGATAATTATGTCTTTGATATCAAAGTATTTAGATTTTATTTAAATATTGACAAATCAGTTAAAGATTTTTTCATGAAAAATCGATTCAAAAATCAAAATATCTGCATATTTAAACAAGAATACTTTTTTAATTTTAATCTGACTTTATTTAAAAAACTAATAAAAATTTAATATTTGCTATTTTATTATTTAAAAAACGTTTATAACTGGTCCAAAACAAAATATATATTAAACGTTATCTTTTTTTTTAAACACCAAAATGTCGGACACTTCAATTGCCAAATTACCTAACCTTGAACTTGCGCATTACCGTTTCATTTTGAATAATCCCAAAACTCCAGAACAATATGAAGAAGCTAAAACAAAGTTATTTAATATAATTGATGAAAACAGTAAGTCCCCTACCTGCATTAGGTTAATAAGGGTCAAGTTCGATCTTTATAGTAATTTCTTTTTATACTGTGTCGATTAAATATTATAGATATGGCACCATTTTACCAACTGGTAACTGAAGAACTCAAGATCTCGTTAGACAAGACCTTGCTGTCCAAATACCAAGAAGCTAATAAAGAAGAGTTAGAAAAATTAGAAGAACGGCTGCAGGATGCCGAAAAAAATCTTGGTGAAACGGAAATAAGCGACGCTTTGTTAGCCAAAGCCGATTACTTTGCCAAAATTGGGGATAAAGTATGCATGATCACTGTTCGATCAAAGAAAAAAAATTTTTTTTTGTTTCATTAATGAAGCCATCGATATTCATTGCTCTTTTCGGGGATATAGGAAAAAGCTCTCACAGCATATCGAGTTGCCTTGGAAAAAACCGCAGGATTAGGTTCTCGAATTGATATAATCTTTTCTTTTGTACGAATTGGATTCTTTTTTAATGATAATGACCTAATTTGTCGTAATATCGAAAAAGCAAGAAGGTAAGATACACGCGAGTTAACACAAAATATCAATATTTAAAATATTTGTAACAAGAACAAATTCAAATTAAACTATATCATGTGCTAGTATGATCGAAGAAGGTGGTGACTGGGATCGACGTAATCGCCTTAAAGTTTATGAAGGCATATATCGATTATCAATACGTGATTTTAAAACAGCAGCAAATCTATTTCTTGATACACTTTCAACCTTTATGTCAACCGAGTTAATGGAGTATAAGGACTTTGTGAAATATGCAGTTTTAGCAGGAATCATTTCTCTTAATCGAGTTGATTTAAAAAAGAAGGTATTTACCTTTTTTAAAATGTTTTTTTTTTTTTAAAATAAATTACTTTTTAATATATGATTATTCATAGGTGATTGATGCGCCAGAAGTATTGGAAGTACTGGACGAGATCCCATATTTAAAGGACTATATCAATTCACTTTATAACTGTGAATATGCAAAATTCTTCCGATCCCTCGGTAAACATAATTTTTTAACATACGTTATAATAATTAAAAATTGAGTAGAATTTAATACATATATTTGAATATAGCTGATGTGGAAAGAAGTCACCTTCGCACATCAAGATACTTATTTTCTCACCTCCGATATTACGTACGTGAAATGCAAACTTTGAGCTATATTGCAAAATTTTATTAACACAACTACTTTTATGTCTTAAGTAAAAAAAAAGATCCTAATCTTACTCTAAATTGATTTACGTAAAAAACATTTTTTGAAAAAATTGCCCTTTTCTCAGCACCTAGCCCATATTAAAGTATTTGATGTCATGTTGACGCAATTAAATTTAAATGAGTTAAAGCCACAATATACTAAAAATATTCTTTAAAGTCAGTATTATCGCCATCGATTACTAGATAACTTTTGTTAGGCAATTTTATTTTACAATTTTAAAACATTGATATAATGTTATTTAATGCAGGATAATTCTATTGTATAAAACTTTGAGTGATAACGCTAAGAGAAATTCAGGCATCACTCATGAAAATTTACTTATTCAATAAATAAAAGATTTCAGAAAAAAAAAAACAAAAAAAAAAACATAAATATATATATATATATATATATATATTTTACTCTTCACTTTCTAACTCCCCTTCACCTGAATTAGACATAACAACATCACCATCACCATCACCATCACCATTGCTACTGTTTGACTCGACACCATTTTCTTCAGTTATTTGAGGAGCGGTTGAAACCGGAGAATCAACGGCACCGTTCGTTCTACCATTACCATTAGTGCGAGCGCCAGTACCTCTACGCCTGCCACCACCATTTCTTGTCTTCATGACTTCAAAATGTTGTTCCACATAATTTTTACATTTACTAGCATTAGGCAAGTCTTGTATCATTTTTCTAATTGTTGCCTGTGAAAACCCAAAATAGTCAGGACCTGACGCAGAGTTAGAGTGATCACGATGGCGAATAGCATTAGCTTCACGAACGACTGAAGTCCAAGCACCAGTCGCCGTATTCGCTACGATAGGTTTCTCCGGTTGATCTTCAGCTTCTATGACAAACTAATATTTATAAATAATATTATTAATAAATATGTATAGATTTATTTAAGAAGTTATAATAAATAAAAATTTTAGATTGATAATATACCTTTGGACCATCGCCACCATCTTCAATCTTACAGACATACATTGTTTGGGCATCAGCATTGATCATGCTATTGTAGGCTCTAAAAAAAAAAAGTGAATTAGTATTAAAGTGAATGAATGAATGAATGAATGAAAATTAAAATATGAAAAATAAGAATTAATTAAAAATAATAAAAATAATTAGATATAAATTAATTAATTACCTCTTAACAGCGTATCCGACAGGCCAAATATATCTTTCATTATGGAAAGTATCACGTTCGTAAACGACAGTACCAAGGCTCAATACGGTCAATATACCAATTTGAACAGGAAGCTTATAATTTCCATGTTCATCCTGTTCAACATATTGAACTTTCATAGTTTTAGCATTGAGCGGACGTTTACTAGCACGTTTCTTTGGAACTTTTCCAGAAGGATGAGTGATAGGAACGGTATTCACAATGTTGTTTGCAGGTGTAGGCGGAGAAGATTTTTTATTGGAAGCACGTCCGCGGGCAGGTTTTTTTATCTGACGCATGATAGATGACGCTCTAGATTGTTGAGCCGAAGAAGCTGTGATATAAAAAGTGATAATTAATGATAATTAATAATAATAATTAATAATAATTAATAATAATAATTATAATAATTATAATTAATAATAATAATTATAATAATTATAATTATTATAAAATAATAACTTACCATCAGAATCTGAAGCTTCGGACGAGAGTTCAATTGATTTTTCAGAATCAGAAGAGTCAGTCACATACCGGCTGATACGATCCAACAACAACCTACATGAAAGAATTGGACATATGCATTAAGAATTCGTCAAAGTGAAGAATAGGAAAACATTATATTCAAGAAAGTAAGTACACACTCTTTCTCTCTTTTGAGGGATTTGATCCTTTTACGTGACCTGTCGAGTTCTTTAGAAACCTTATCTAACTCTTTGGAGACTTTATCAAGATCCTATTCAGATAATATAAATAAAAAAAAAGTTGGTCAGCCTTCATGATAATTGGTAAAAATTACTGCACAGTTAAGCGGTATTTGTAACAAGCAAGTAAGGAAAACCGAAAGCACCAAACAATATTAACAAGAAAGACCAAAGTCACAGGTTAACTTTATATCTTTACAGCCACACCTCATAAGATTATTTAGGTTATAAAGTATTGCGAAGAATAATATAGGACATAGTATAGCATTAGCGGTAGCGAAAGGAAAATAAAAAAGGACAATATAACTCTACTAACAACAACATAGGTAAAGGTTAAGAGGTGTAGTCGGAAAACTTGGAGGGAGACAAGTTTAAGAACGCTTCGCAATTAACACAACCTCGAAGAAGGCACACAATTACGGGATCGTAACTCTTTAACATAGGTACATATACATTCTATATATTTATTAATTATAACTACTTACAGTTTGCATATCACAAACTCTACGCTTCAACTTTTGGTATCTTTCATGGGGAACGAGACCATTCTCATGAGACGAAACATGTCTTCCCCTACTAGAGTGGGAGTGGTTTTGAGCCATGAATGAGATATAAAGAGTATAATAGGAAGTAGTACGGAAAGTGGATTGATTTGGAAAGAGATGGAAGACTTTATTTTTTTTTTATTTTTTTTTTTTTAAAGGGGGGGGAGAAAATTAATTTTGGGGTAGAGTAAGTAATAAGTATTTATTTGAAAGTAATATAACAAATAGTAGTCAAAATAGTACAGGCAACAATCTTCGGGTATGTGAGGGAACAACAGTCAGTTAAGAGATGTCAAGTAAAGTTTTTTTATTCTGTGGGAAGAAAATTACGGGGGATAGTCCGAGATAATGAATTGTATAGATAATTTTTTTTTGCAACGCAGACGTAATTCATTTGTATGGTTGTATTTATTCTGTATGTTGTGAGGGGTTTTGGTTTGGAACATACTGGACGGAAAGGCTTGTGTGTGTGTCCTCTTTCCAAGACAAAAAGCCGGCTGCCTCTTTCAAAAGAGAAAATGATTTCATGCTGTCTCCAAACCTTTACTGCTTGCACGTTGATTGGTCAAAAAAGTGATGTGCAACGTCACAGCATGCAATTGCTATCCATATAAGGAAAGACCAGAGTCGGGGTCGTGTCTTGCTTTATATTTGAAAGTCATCAAATGACAATATAAATTGTATTCTAAAGACAAAAACAGACAATACTACACCGTGGCACATACACATCAGGCCCATCCAAGCATTCTTTATAAATTTCTTCCCTTTTTCTTTATTGACTAAGAGAAGTTAGAATTTTTGTGGAAATCCATGATGAACTTTTTTAAATTAAGTATACATTAAAAAATATATATATCTATAAAATTACGGAAAAATTTATCTCATTATCATAAAATATAAATTTCGCAATAATAATATATATAATAAAAAAGTAAAGGAGTAAGTTTCATTTATTTAAAATCAATCCGTTTTAAGTCAAGAGAGAAAAAAAAAAAAAAAAGCTTTTTGATGGATATTAAAAATCAAGAATTTCGTAATTGGGTATCCGCGGAAAAGTCGGGATGAGATAACCCTTTATGTCTGCTAGTAAATAATATCAATCCAAAAAAAGCCTCTCACCAGTGCCACATCCCCTAAATGACACCCGATTTAATGCACAGCCGTACTCCCTTCTCATCACACGCTTATCAATCGTACAAGAAATTTAGTTTGTACTAACATACTTTATTGTATCCCAATTATCTTCCAAAACAAATATCATTCATAATCTAATTTTAGAAATATTTCACCAAGATTTGCCACATTTTTTTATAAATTTTGTATTATTTCGATTTTTATTGAAAAAAAATTTTATCTTAAATTATTGTTGTTATATTTCCGTTATTATGTTATATATTTTGTTATTATGTTAATTATTACATTATTACAGTATTACAGTATTACGTTCATGAAATATATCTATCGATCAAATATGTAATTCATGAAAGTTTGGTTTAATTTGGTACGATTTTCTATATTATAAACTTAAAGATTCGATTGTATGTAAAAGAAATTCGTACATACGTACGTACGTATGTACATTCTTTGTCAAACTAAATATTACACATGTTATTGTGTTACGTATCCAAAAAATTCGAATGTTTACGTATTTATATTACCCATAGTGGAAATCAGGTGGTGATAGGTGGCTATGAAGGTGATGTTTAGTTATCACCGAAGAATGCATGCATATTTCTGATATGTACATACATACATATATACCATATATATAAGTACCTACGTCGTACGTATTACCGCTGGTCACACATATTCTCGATAAATGACGATTCGTTCTATGTTTATATTGCTGTATTATATATAATTGATTTATTTATTTAAAATTGAACTATATTTATTTTTTTCCGGTACTAAAAAAAAAATTTTTGCGTACGAGTACGTAAAATATTATTGTTTCACCTTCGAAATCTGTAAACTTCGATTATACGAACTTATGTAACTTATATAAAACGTGCTAAATTATTGAAAACATATTCCGGTCAAATTTTAATTTATCTCAAGTTTCATAATAGTATTTGTATTTTTTATTAGGGTATTTGTTTTTCCTGTTTATTAATTTGCTTGTCGAGGCTTTTGTTATTTTGATTGGATTTCGAAAAAAAAAACTTCCTAAACGTATCAAAAAACAATTTTTAGAACATTATTATATAGTGCACCATTAAAATCACCGGCTATTGTGTGTAATAAACATTTTTATAAACAAAATGTTTAAATTTGTTTTCTATAATGGGTTTTTTCAATTGAATTCTCTTTTTAATCTACTTGTTTAAACATTATATATACTGTACATCATTTTTAAGTCATAAAGAAAACAATTTTAAAAACACATGCGTACGTACGTATAAACTAACACTGTTATACTGTATATATATATATATATATATTTATCAATAAATATACAGTTTATAATAAAAACTTAAATTTCTAATGGTTCAATGTTCCCAATTGTAAATTTGCCGTTAATCAGCTCGGATATCTATCAATTTCCAAATGTTACCTAAACGTTTGGTCTAAATTAATTTGTTTAATTTGATCTGTAGTTTAAACCAGATTAATTTCTGAAACATATCAATATCTGAAGCATAACACTTACAGTCAGTATATATATATTTAGTATATATATATATATATATTGCAAGCTTATACAAATTAAAAATATATATTTATATATATTAATTAAATCTTGTTTTTTAATAAACTTTATTTTTATTTTTATTTTATTAATTATATTATTATTATTGTTATTAAAGTATTAGATATTTTGGATTTTTAAAAAATAAATAAAAATTTTTATTTAAAGCTAAGTTTTTTTTAAAAAAAAAAATATTTTTTTACAAAATTTTTTATATATCTTTTTATAATTACTAACAACTAATACTTTTAACTATTTTTATCTTTAAATTTTATTTAAACCTATTTTTTTTAAATATTTTTTTTTTGTTGTTGTTGTTAAGATGAGGTCTTGCTCATATCTTTATTAATTAATTTATATAAATAGTTATATAAAGACTATATAAAAACTTAATTTGCACAAAGACAAATAAATATAAATTATATACAAAAATAAGAGCTTAGACTAAAAGCTTAAACTAAAGGTTTAAACTAATTATCTGCGACTTAAACCTACTAAAGTAGTCAAGACTTACTAGTTTAAATAGTTAGAATATTGTTAATAGGTATACTATATTTAATCTACTTGGTAGACTGAATATCAAGCTTGATAAATACTTGTTTTAAAAGAGAGCAAGTATTGGGTTTAGAGTGTAGTTGATTAGCAAAGCTACAAAAACAATTATAAATATATTTAGTTTTGCTTCTCTTATTTGTGAAGGTTAAAAATAAATTAGATATTATATTATTTTTTTTAAATATTTATTTTTTTAAATTTTAGATTAATATATACTATATATATAAAAACTTGTACTATATTGTTACTAAATAACAGGTATAAGTATTAATTAGAGATAAGCTTAATTTGGGTTAAAATTTGTAATTTTACTTTTGCATATTATTTTATAACAATATAGTAGTTTTGTATAATATAGTAATAAAAATACTAACAAATAATATTGCAAAAAAAATAATATTAAAAAAAAACTAATTTAAAATAATAATAATCTATTATCAAAAAAATACCTAGATAGTTTCTTTCTGTCAATCACTGTAATCAAAACCAGAGCTAAAGAAAAACATAAAATTAAACATCTGTGTATTAAGATAATAGTTAAAATAGTAATAGAAAAAAGCTAATACAAGAAAAATTATCTATAGTTATATAGAACAAGTTTGTCTTTTAAGAACTCTAGTGTTCTTTAGCTATAAAAATATAAATTTTTAACAAAACTTGAAAATTTTTTTAGAAAACTGGAGATTTGTTATAACCCAGTTTTGTATATCCTTAAACAACAACAACAAAATAGCAAAACAAAACAAACAGATTTAGATAATATAATTAATACAGATAGTACTTGTTATTTAAAAGTAGTTCTCATATGCTATTTGCTAACAAGTTTAGAATTTATCACCTACTGACAAGAAAATTAGAAGTATACATGGCTCTATATGTTTTATTAGTTTTGAAAAAAAATATACTTTTTTTTAAAAAAAGTATAAGAGCTATACTATAAACTATCACCCACTTACTTTTTCAACAAAATTTTCGTAAAAAGTGGGCAAAACAGCTTACCTCTGTCAAAAGATTAGCATTGTTTACTCTATACAAATCAGGATATCATAGTAGATTGCAATTACACATTTTGTTTACTGATAAATATGTCGCTACTCCATGTGACAAGGCCTCTATCTAACAAGCCACATACGGATATTTGGATAGTCAGAAAGAAAGTTTTTTATTAAGACATAGCTTTATAATAGAGATATATAAATATTGTATTTGTTATACAATTTTTTAAATCTAGCACAGATTATAATAGTGCATTTTGTTTTTGTTTTTTTTTTGTTAGTTTCAGTATTTTTTCTTTTGTTGTTTTTCTTTTTTCTCTTTTTTCTTTGTCAGTATTTGTTTTCTTTTCTTTTGTTTTTTTTTTTTTATATTAGTTTTTTTCTTTTATTAGTATTTTTATTTTCTTGATAATATGTTATACTTTTCTCCCTTTTTTAATTTGCTTTTTATGAAGAAAGAAAAATTTTAAAGAAAGAAGTACAATTCTGACACAGTATTAACAACCATTCAGTAATGTTGATAAACAAGTTTCAAGTATAGTTTGAGACTCTGACAGAAATAAATAGTTATATAGCAGATTGTACCTGGGTACTTTGGTATTGAGTGAGTCTTTCTTATGCTTTTAGATAAATTGTATACTGTTGTAGATAGCAATAGTTACTATCCCTTAAACCGTATTCCAAGCAAATTTGCCTGGAATTTTGAAGAGTATTTATAATTTTTTAAATAAAATTAAAAATTATTAATAATATAGGGTATAAATATGCATAAAAGAACACAACTCTTTCTAACGATCCCTCATACCAAAATTACAACA